CTCTATATATATATATGTCTTCTCCTCTTCTCACCCCTTCCTAGAGTTAAACCTATGCTGAAATCATCTTGACGACATAGAATGGAAAATTCATCTCTGCAGGCAACGTCAGTGGCTTCCTGACCAGCTCTGCCGCCAAGCAGCTCGGCCTCGTCGAGGGCATCGCCGTGGCCAGCGGCGTGATCGACGCCTACGCCGGCTGGATCGGCACGGTGGGAGCCAAGGTTGAGCTGAGCGCGGACGAGCTGGATACCAGCCTGAGTGCCGACGACGAGATGCAGGCCAGCTCGCGCCTGGCCGCCGTGGCGGGGACGTCGACGTGCCACCTGGCCATGTCCAGGGACCCCATCTTCGTGCCGGGCGTCTGGGGTCCGTACCGGGACGTCATCTCGCACGGCACCTGGATGGCCGAGGGTGGGCAGTCGGCGACGGGCGAGCTGCTCCGGCACGTGGTGGAGGTCCACCCGGCCCACCCCGAGGCGGCGGCGCGGGCCAAGGCCGAGGACAGGAGCGTGTACGACTTCCTCAACGGGCACCTGGAGGCCATGCGCGGACGGGCCGGCGCCCCGACGGTATCCTACCTGGGCCGCCACCACTTCTTCTACGGTGACCTGTGGGGGAACCGGTCGCCCGTGGCCGACCCGAGGATGCGCGGCGCCCTCGTCGGCCTGGACAGCGACCGGTCCGTCGACAACCTCGCCCTGTGGTACTACGCCACCATGGAGTTCATCGCCATGCAGACGCGCCAGATAGTCGAGCGCATGAACGCCGAGGGCCACTCCCTCTCGTCCATCTTCATGTCCGGGTCGCAGTGCCAGAACCCGATCCTCATGGACCTCATCGCCTCCGTCTGCCGCATGCCCGTCGTCATCCCCCGCTACGCAAACGCCGCCGTCGTCCACGGCGCCGCCATGCTCGGTGCCAAGGCCTCGATCGAGGTCGACGCAGCGCGCCGGGGTCATCGGCACCGTACCCAGTCACTCTGGACCGTCATGGACCACATGTCCAAGCCTGGCAGGGTCGTCAAGCCCCGTCGTGACGACGTCAACGAGAGCGCCCTCCTGGACGCAAAGTATAGCGTCTTTCTCGACATGTGCACTGCCCAGCAGGACTACCGTGCCAGGGTCGACAGGGTTGCTGCGGGCTGGTCTGTCCCGCGTAGCATTGACAAGGCTGAGTAGTGGTGAGATTGGATACACGGTCGATCCAGGGGGGGGGG